ACAGTCAAGTCTGTTGAGGGGGAACAGAAAGGAAACCTCTCCCTCTTAATCTCATTTATCTCTCTCTCTCACACACACACACACACACACACACACACACAGTGGCACGCAAAATAAGAAATCTCCGTTGCACACAATACTTAATATACACAATAACTGAGTTGAATCTTGCATGCTGATACTTGAGAGTAAAACAGCAACTGGTAGAAGAAGTTTTCATTTATTTTAAAGTAGCTATACCAAAAAAGGAAAACAGGTTTTTTCGGTCCAGCGCATAATCTTTTATAGATAAGATAAGATTATCGTTTATTGATCCCAGGTGGGGAAATTCTAGTGTATCAGAAGTAAAGGATAAGAAGAAGAGCATGCATATGAGAACAAATAAAATAAGAATATATAGGAATAAATGATACAATGTATTTAAAACTATTACTTAGAAAGTATTATGTTTATGATGCACCAATTAAGATCTTAACTATACACTAAAAACGATACAGGACATTGAGGCATATTAAGTGGCAAGTTTAAGTTAAAGTGACAGTTATCAGATAAAGTGACAGAGTTAAAATGAGGTGACAAAAGTAAGCAATAAATATCAAAATAAGCATCTAGAAGTAATATAACATGAGTGTCAGACTCCAAGCTATGGCAGTGTGACAGTCACTGTGGGGAATGTTCATGATGAAGACAGACTGTAGGACCCACTGCTGCTGTACAGTCTGATGGCAGTAGGCACAAAGAAGAGCTGAGTTTTCATCATGGCGGGGGTGAGAGGAGTTGTCCAGGATGGCTGTGATTTTGTACCCCATCCTCCTTTCAGCCACCGTCTCCAAGCTGTCCAGTTCCAGGCCAACAACAGAGCGTGCCTTTTTTTATGAAAGTAAGAGTACAAACGTTTTTTCAGCCTCTGTCTGTGCTGTGTTTTTTGATATGCAATATAATTGGATCATTTTACTGATGAATTATTGTGTATGTAGCATTTGAATGCTAAATATAGTTTGGGAGGAGCTAGTTCACGATGCTGTTGTTGATGATGATTATAAAATAAAAAACAAAAAGACTGCTTCTGTACACATTGTGCACATCTGAGCACAGAATCCCAACATATAAAGTTAATAAATGTATACCCCTAAAAACTAACTAATTTAACACAAGTGAAGGATCTAAAGAACAGGATTAGGGCCAGTAATGAGAAATGCAGGATAATTTCCATTTCGCACTTCAAGAAAAAAGTGGACATTTAGAGAAAAAGGAAACATTACAAATTCAAATTCAATTTTGGGAACAAAGTTGACATTTCACATTTCGACTCAATTCTCTATATTCTGACTTTTTCCTTGACATTTCAACTTTTTTCTCTCGATATTTCAGCTTTCTTCTCTACGTTTGGACTTTTTTCTTGAACTGAAAGACTATGCAATAATGGCTCAGAATGTTAAAGTTCAAACATGTTCTCATAAAGGGTGTCTCTTCTCTAATATATTGGCATCAGAAATCCAGTAAAGCTTCTTCCATTTTTTTTCAACCCCACACTGCTCTCTGCTGGTTGATATAGGAACACAAAACACACAAATTATCCAAAACTAAAGAATAAGACTGCTTAATCCTTTCCAGGGTTCATTTTGGGGAATTTGCATGAAGCAAACTCAAATCAGGAGATTAGTTTGTTTACAAGAAGGCCCACTCTTTGTTTTTCTATTGTCCGTGAGTAAAGCTGCTTTAGTGCAGCCGGGCCCTTTTCTGTACAGATAGCACAACCCTGAATAAGTGTGTTTGTGCTTTTCTCACAAACACACACACACTTATTCAGTCAGTGAGTGGAGGTCTCAGGGCGCTGTTGTTGACACTGAACAGTTACTCATTATCAGTGAGAGGAAGAGAACAGAAGGAGACAATGGACACTTTCTCTGGATCACTGACCCACAGAAAAACAAGAGGAGTAGGAGGCAGAGGCTCTCTGAGTGTTTCATAAACAATGTTTTTATTCTACATTTCCTTCTCCTTTTTTTGCTTCCTTTCAAAACTCATGTGCATGTTTTTGTATGATGTCCATACATGAATATGTGCGTATGTGTGAGTATGTTTGTCTGTCAAAAGGACACGGCCTTACAACAGCAGTGTTAGTCACCAGCCACTTCCCTGCTCAGTCAGCAGCATCTCTGAATCATTTCATCCACTTGCACAATGATATGACTGTTATTACATAAAGAATAATAGAAGAACACTGAACAAAACACGTACCCATGAATTACACAGACTCCTTAAGACAAGCAAAATAAAATAAAAAATGTCACATTTCAGAACTGTAAAGAATAGCAGATTAGTCCTCTTACATTTCATTAAAGATCTCATCCATCTGTTCATATCCTCATCATATTATGCTAATCATCTACACTACATATATGCATGAATGTTCCCAAACTATAAAGGCCCCCTTTGAGAGGTTGTAAAGGGCCTCGTTTTATTCAAGCTGACTCTTTTTTCTAACTACAGGATTCCCCCAATTTCATTAACCCTTTAGCTGATGGTGTTAACACTAAATACAACCAAATAAAAAAATGAATCTCAGGTAGACACCTTCCTACAATGATTTAAAAAAAAAAAAAAGAACGAGGTCAATGATTTAACCTGAAAGACTCTGTGATGTGAAAGTAGCAGGACAGAAGGTTTATTCCACTCTGTTTAGAGTACAGCTTTGTTATTGGGGTTCCTATAGTTTCAAATGTGACCTTTGTGACCTTTGTCAGTGAATTAAACTTTGGTGCTTCCTGGTTTAACACTGAATTCTTTCAACTATGAAAAATTATTTCAGCTTTATCCAAAATCTAAAGAGCATGCTTCATTTAGATAGATAGGTGTTACGAATGTGGCCCCTATGTGTTCCCCTCTCATCCAGAGTATAGGGTCTCATTAAGGATGTTGCATGTTGTACAGACTTTGACATTTTATTTGTCAAATGTGACGTGTGACATTAAGTTATATAAATCTAATAGACCAACAGTCTTTAGAATAATTGCCTTTTAGAACATTTCACAGTTTTTGAAGCCGCCAGTCAGTTTTTGCATTCATGACCCTTAAATGTCAAAGGTTGATCTGGATGAAGACTCAAACATTAGCTGATACTGCCACACGCAGAAGATTTAAGTGAAGATAAGAGCAGAGAAAATAAATTCTGTTTATTCTTCGGTGTGTCTCTGTTTGCAGGCTGGGTAGGCTGCATACAGGCCCTGTGGACTAAGCACACAGATCTTCATCCTGTGACATGTGGAGTATTTAGGCTGCAGTCTTTAAGAGTGACGCTGAGTCACTGACTGTTTCGTCTCTCCTCCTGCTAGTAATGAAACTGACTGTTTTCTCTCTTTTAAATGATTGAATAATCAGAATAAAATCACGTGGAGTAGACATTTACCTTTTATCTAAGCATATCTTAAATCAAATAAACTAAGCGTCACACCAGTTGGTCAAATGAGAACCTGAAGACCCTCTACAAGCTTTGACATGGATGTGAAAAATCAGTCAGCTTGGGTTTTTCTTGTTAGTTCATTGAGTTTTGTACTGATTTGTACGAAAGGTTTCAGTCACATTTATGCAATCATTATCGCATTGCAATAACAAACTATTATAAATGTTATCTTAAAGTGCAGCGTGATGGGTCTATTACTTTGGCAAAGGTAAATCTCCTCTGAGTTGATTTTAAGTCAGTATGGGGGATTGGGAGCCTGGAGAAGGGAGAAAGTTGATACAGTAATTCTGCACCAACTTGTCCACGAGTTGCATGTTCATTCTGTCTTTTATTTGTAAATCTCACTTGTACTTTATTTGCTGCTTAGGAGAAATAGGAGTTTCCAGATGATGAATTGGAAAAGGCCCTTTATTTTCTTGTAAATATTTATATGGAAGTATGTGCAGTTTCTGAGCTGAGAAAATGAGTTGTGTCTGTATTTGTTTGTGCATACAGAAGAATATTGAAATTTGTTAATTATTTTGCAAATCAAATGTACTAACCTGCTCTGAACATCATATTCTCTTCATCTCTTCATCCCAAAAGAAATGTGTTGGTATCAGAGTGTGTGTGTGTGTGTGTGTGTTTGTGTGTGTGTGTGTGTGTGTGTGTGTGTGTGTGTGTGTGTGTGTGTGTGTGTGTGTGTGTGGGTAAGAGAGAGAGAGACAGAGCTACTGCTCAACATTCACCCGAAACTAATTTCCTATTATCTATTGTATTATTTAAATGGACCAGCATAATGTACGCTATCATGCATCATATTATATGAGAGGAGTTATTTTACAGGCATCGTAATGCAAAAGCAGAATGATAAAGTTGCTATTGGCCAGCAGGTGGCAGCATCAACCCTCTTGCTACAGCATCTAAAAAGTTAATATGCTGAGAAAACAAACCTGTGATGATAACTTTATTTCTTGGTATAAGAGTGATACAATGTAGGGTATCGTATTTTAATAGATCTCTCATATCTTTAATCTTTTTTTAAATGATTCTTCTATCTGTACAGTTCCCAATCCCTACTTTAGTAACCCCGCTGACTTAATCGCTCTCTCTGTCAGAACCCACAGCAGACAGGAACTATAAAAAAAGTGAGCAGTTTCAGTCAGCCAGTGAACAGTGGGAGCCAACACCCCCACTGAGTGTCCTCTCTGTGATAACATTTTAAAGCTCGTCTTTATTGGGAGGCTTAAGCTCCTTTCATGTTTCACCATCATTTAACTGAATGTCACAGGACTTCTTTTCAGGTGGCTTCAATTGTAAGGGATATCAGAAGGTCATGTGAATAGCTGCAGCAAGTTTGTGCATGAAACTAAACAATAATATACATTACTTAATGAATGCTGTGGCTTGAGATCCCAAAGATATTAATAGTGCGCTTTTGTTGTTGTTTCAATCTTCTATGTTTTCTCCCCCCATCTACAAACTCTCTGCAATGAAAAAATACAAACAATAATAATTACAATCTGTAATTCTCTGCTGCAGATTGAGTAAAAACACATTTAAAGAGAATTTCTTTTATTGGTTCAACCCAGCACCAAAGCTAAACTGAGAGCCTGAGGACATTAATAAATCAATAATTCAGTCTTTGCTAAATCTATAACACAGATATATTCTGAAAGCAGAGGTCTGAGGTGGACACATTCGTGTCTATCATACATCCAACAGGCTACATGTGTTGCTTGTATGACTAATGCTGTGAAATGCTTATGAGCAGGGCCAGCCTGCTGCGTGAATGAGGTATAACACTGAGCTTAATAACATCTAAAGAAACAATATTGTATTTATGTGTGTGTGCGTGCGTGCGATGTCATAGGAAGTAGTGACACTCTTGGGTGCAGCATGTCAGCCTCCCTCCTCCCACACATGTTCAATTCTTTAATCACATGCGTATGTCCACACACACACTAAAGAGTTGTTTTCTAACAGCAAAAAAGTGTCTTTATTCCTCGGCTGTCCAACAAACAGAACACATGTTTTTCTTTTTAAATAACAATAATTCCTCTTAAACAATATAAAACTTGATTTTGAGGGTTTTTTTTCTCTTTCACATCCTAAAAATAATGTTAGCTTCCATCCATGTGTTGGGTGTTTGTCTCTCTACATGCCCAGAGGAGGCACATGGGGAATAAATAAAAGGTTTTGTCAAAGGCCTGCGGGCCCTCGTCCCAGTGACTCTTCCTCTTCCTCTCCTCAGTGTCCCTTTATCTACATCAGAACTCCACTTTTATCCAAGAGTCAATGTACAGTATGTCAGCTTGTAGTTTTTTCTTTCTGTGTCTGTACACCTGACATCCAACCGTGTGTACACTGCACAGTTAACAGGAGTCTATCAGTCTCAGGTGTGTGTATCAGAGTTCATCCCGTGAGGCTCGAGCTGCGGGAGGCGGGGAGTCTCCAGTGACGCTGTTCTGTGCCACAGACCGGATTGTGCCCTGTTGGGCTGTCTTGCGAGCGTGCTGCCGGTCCCAGTCTGTCGCAACGGCTTCGTCGTCCCAGATGGTGGAGGTCTCTGTGTCGCTGATGTAGCCAGGCTCTCCGGTGTAGTGTGTAGGGTAGATTAGCAGAGGCTCCACGGAGAAGGCCAGCAGGTCCCTTGGCTCAAAGTGAGACAAGAACTGGGTGCTGAGGGGGTGAAAAAATGATAAATTAACTTGATTGTGAATATTACATCAAAACATGATTATATTCGTTATTAGTTATGTCCTGGTTAAATCCACTCAGACATGGAGTGCTAAAAATATGTCTTTAACCTTTAAAAGGCCAGGGTGATGTCTTGTACCATCAAAAGCAGTACAAGACCCCGGCAAACACATTTCAGACCTGGGAATGGTTCATGTCAGGAAATCAACAAATTTAGCATTCATAGTTCAGTTAGATCTGATGGAGGAGAATCTGCAGTGATAGGGAACACCTAAAGAACGCAGGATGAAAGACCAAGAGGATGGTAAAAAGGCAAATGGATTTAAGCTTGCGATCACATCCTTAGGCGGCAGTAGCTCAGTCTGTAGGGACTTCAGTTGGGAAACGGAGGGTAGCTGGTTCAAGACCCAGTGTGGACCAAATATGGAAGTTGGTCTGGCAGCTGGAGAGGTGCCAGATCACCTCCTGGGCACTGCCAAGGTGCCCCTGAGCAAGACACCAAACCCCCTCCCCACCATCAGCTCAGGAGCGCCCGCTGTGGGCCGCTCCGTCACTCCGGCTTCTCTCCATTAGTGCATGTTCATAGGATCCTGTTGCTGGTATCAATAAAGTAAATCTTAATCAATTGTCAAGCAAGGAGTTTGCTTCATTTTGCTTCCAGTAAGTATTGGTACTGACATCTAGAAAATGGACGTCAGTAAACAAAAAAAAGCTGATTAATGATTAATTAATGATTAATTATATTTCTGTGACTGATCTAATTGTCACCAAGAAGAAGAGGAAGGGTGGTGAAACAGAAACAGAGCATCAGTCACTAGTTGCTATTGACTTGACACGTTTTGTGTTTCGAGTCTGACACATCACATCCTGTGAACTGGGATTATGGCGTTCAAACTCAGTGTACAGGAATTCAATTTTACCACTGACAGCAAATTCACAGGATATCAAATAAGGGAACAGGTCAATGTCCTCTTCTGCAGCACAATTGCTATTGTGTTGCAATGTTTTGTATTTCATATGCAGATCATAAGTTCAATAATAAAACTTGAAGCTGTAAGAAACCAATAGTTTAAGTGATCAAAAATATGTAGGCTAATTAAAGAAACACTTTTTCTTGAAAGTTTGTAGATCTGATACTTATAGTGATTTCAAAATGGAAGGATTAGATGATTTTTTAAAGATAAAACTAGTGACCTGAAGAGATTATTGTGGTTATGCAAGTTATAATGAGCATGTTTCAGGCATGTTTTATGGACAAAATGAGATCTGCAGATTAATGCATAAACCATAAATAGAGACAACATTTGAAAAATCAAGTACTCACAGTACAAGCAAACCACCCTACAATTGCATTTGATTGCATTATTGCATTTTTACCTGGTTCAGTAGTTTACTATTTTATCTAAATGTACTTGGAAATAAAACAGATTCTGACTCCGATTCTGATATCACAGTGTACTACTACCAGGTATGTTCTCTCTACTCTAACTATTTTTTATCAGCCTGCAGCAGCACTGTCTGTTTCACCTCAGCTCCTATTACATCTGTATAAAAGCATCATCCAACCTCTTCAACATGCTAACTGTAGCGAACAAAAATAAACTCACCCGTATCACAAATATCACTTCAAAAATCATTGGCCAACCTACCCAAAACCTCTCACACCTCGACTACAAAGCACTGACTCACAGAGCACTCACCATAGCCCAGGCCCCCCTCTCACCCACTCAATCCACTCTTTTCTTTTCCCTCAGGTCGGCGATACAGGACTCTGACCAGGAAGAGGGCACGCTTTAGAAAGAGCTTTGTTCCCTTGGCTATTGAAGCTCTAAATAAGCATCCCTGCTGACTGGCCAATTTTCCATTGCCTATGTGTTTCTTTCTGTTTGTTTATATGTTTTCTTCATGTGCCGTGTTATCATATATGTATACCTGTGTAACAACTGTGCAAAGCTATGACAAACAAATTGTATCGTAGTGTATAGTCAAACGCAGGAATGAGGGCTGTGAGGGTCTGACACGTCAGCCATGAGGAGTCACACTCCTGCAGACAGAGGTCACCACAGAGGTCAACTCCCTGCAGCCCATCGCTTGTTTAAAGCCTGTCGGCGCGCCAAGAAGACTGCAACCCCATACCCTTTTTTGAGCACCTTTAACAGAACTGAATTCATCCATAAAGAAACACATCCTCACACAATTATATACACATACAACTTTTTACAATAATAACCAAGGCCCTTTTAGCCCAAAAAGACAAACAGATGAGATACCATAACACCCCCCCCCTCAAAAAAAATAAAAAAACAGCAACACATGTCATAATTTTCACAGTTTAAACAGAACACATTTATGAAATGCACATTTAATGTATTTTCCCTCCCAGCTTTCCATATTTTCCTTCTCTTGCACTTTTATACAAGCTTTCTCTCACTGTTAAATACACACGCAGTGTATTCATCAGTAATCTATATACAGACCCACATCTCCATGTATTTGTATAGTAACACACACACACACACACACACACACACACACACACACACACTCACACACACACACACACACTCACCCAGTGTCCATCTCTACCCAACCCCCCTACCCAAACCTCTATCAATGGGAATCCTGTCCCCTTCTCCAACCAGCAGGAAGAGCTGTGCTGGCCCACATTCCTCAAAGAGAGAGGAGGAGGGGGAGGAGAAGAGGGTGACACAGGAGGGAATAGGCATGCAAAAAAGTACTGTTGAGAAGAATTGGTGTGCGTAAATTTGCAAAAAAAAAAGAAATAAAAGAGAATAAAGAATTCAAGGAGAGCTAGGAAAGTTGGGGAAAGACTAAGTATAAAGATGTGAAAAAGAGCAAGAAGGTGGAGGTGTAGGTGTAGGAGAACAGGGTACAGCAGGAATCCCAGCGGAGAAAGAAAACAGAAAAGCTTGCATTGTGTGCACCGTACCCACTGAACCCCTGAGAACAATCCCTGCCCTGTGTGTGAGCTAGCTCAGAAAAAGAAGTAGAAGAAGAAGCAGAAGCAGAAGTGGGGGTCGTCCAGACAGAAAGTGCAAGGGAAAGAGGGACACAATCAGGGGGAAAGAGAGGTTAAAAAAAGATGGAGTTGGAGAAATATAGGGAACAAATCGTGGAGTAAAACTCCACAGACGTTGTGGTCTACCACCGGAGAGAGCAAACTTTAACATCACACACTACCCCAGAGTCTAAATGGGACCCAAATATGCATGTTTGTGTCTATGTATAGATAATTACTGTAAAGTAGGTCCTATAGTATTTCTGCACTGGTTTATGGCTGTAGAATCTGTTTTTGTGCATCTACAGGATCCATGCATGCCTCCATTACTCTGACTATCTACTTTAAATATAACTATCAATTTTGCAACTCCAACGTTTTTTGCAACTGTTAATCTAAATTTGAATTTTCTGATTTATTCATACTTATGTAAGAGTGCACCTGCAATCATCTATTTGTAGTCTATAGTAAATATTTGCAAACCAGACTGTCTAAAAGGGTCTTTCCCCACAGAAAAACGTTATTTCTGTGGCCTTGTGATTTTCTGCACGACATGCCTTCAATACATTCCTTTGTAGTGCATGTGCACATTACTGTGGTCATGTATTGCATGTATGCAGCACTGTCATTTTAAAAGGAAGACAGCTAAAAAAAAAAAAAAAAGACTTACTTGGGGTGTTTGTTGAACATGACAGGCAGAAACTCATCAACAGGCAGCATCTTTGTTAATGGATCTGCAGCCAGTAACTTCCTGGCTCCTTGCTGTGAAAGCGCATAGCCTAGCGTCCAATAGGAGTAGTCGGCCTTCACCAGGTTGTTTACACCATCCACCGACTGCTCCGGCTGCTGCACCTGCATACGCTTACGCCCCACGTAGCTAGAACAGAGGCAGAAAGATTGCGTTTATTAGCCTCCACACGAAACCTTTAGTTTTGCACACGTGTTTTTGGAATAAAATTTGAGAACATGCATGTGGATTTTCTTACATGAGGTCCCAGTTCAGCTTGGTTTTGTCTATGTCATCCATTATGGCCTGGAGTCGACGTTTAAACCTGGGCTCAAACCTCACATCGTCCTCTAACACTAGACTCTCTGGAGGCCCTGCTCCAACATCTGGTGGGAAAAAAAGTAATGTCATAACAGCTGTGGGATTTTGCAACTTTTCACCTGAAGGCAATTTTTTTTCTGCTGATTACAAGGTATCCAACCACAAACCCTCTACCCCATACTAGTGCATTCTTTACTGATCTCACCTGTGTCCATATGGAGTGATGGCTGAGGAAGCAACCAATCTCCCCTCGCGTCAGCACTCTACCAGAGTACGGGTCCTTGTAGCCTGGCATCATTTCTATTCCGAGTGCCTGCAGCTGGGACGTATTCAGAGCCCTGTGATGGAGAGGGAAAAGTGGTATATAAGAGAAGACATGAGAAAGAAGTATACTTGTTATAACTGCATTTGCCACAACGTATCTGAATCTCTCATCAGTGAGTACAGCTTCATTGTAAATCTTAGCAAGCTGCAACAAGTTACACATTTAGCCAGATACACAAAGGCTGAAGAAGGATTAGGACATTCTCAACAGTGGATTAAAGTAAGCAATGGTGGGGGGGGGATAAACAAGTCAAGAACATTTCTACAAACAGTAGATGTCGGGATATGAGCGTCAGAAGAAGTAGCTACAGATGGGAAACAGAAGACATTCTTTCTCTGAAGCTTATTGGGGGACCACAGTCAAAGTCTAGACCTCAAAGGAGAGAGCATGAATGTTGTTTTTTCAAGATTTAATCAGCCTTCATGTCAGTTCATGGAGCGCATACAGGGTTGTGTGTTTGGGACCTACTTGCCATCCACTGCATCTGTCAGCGTGGCATGTAAACCCAGAGAAGCCATTGTTTTCAACATCCTGGTTCTTCTGTCTAGCCGACGCTTCAGGTTGATCAGCAAAACCTCAACATTGAAATAGAGTATAAGGAGATTTTTATTGAAGGGGAATCGTTTCCTTATTAATGCATATTGACAAAACAAAAACATGAGGGAACATGAAACAGAAGAAGATGATCAGGGTATTAGTTCAGGAGATGAACTGACACACAATGAAAGCAGAGAAACTGCTACAAAAACAGGAAGAGGGAATTATTTTTAAACAGTAAACACAAAGTAGTACTCAAGGAGGATACCCTCATAACTCACTTTATCAAAGCCAATTGTGTCCTGTGATGACGGCGGAAAGGAGAGGTGCTCAGAGGGCTCAATGTCGTGGTCGACTGTTGACAAGAAGGGGAAAGGTTAAAACAACAACAAGATTAGAGTACAGCTCAATTTCCAGTGTGGTGTATTTGAGTTGTTTTATTTAAAGCTTAAACAGGGAGTACAGAAAGAGGGGCAAAATAGAGAGAAAGTGAGGAAGGAGGAGGGGGATGAAAAAAAGAGAGAGGGAGGAGGAGGGTAACGGAGCAGATTGTTGACAGGATGCAATCATGGAGGGTCGAGGAGGTTGAGGAGGAGAAGAAACAAACTTGAAAGGTAAAATAACCAGGGAGGGACACAGATAGTGGGATAGAGTGTGTGTGTGTGTGTGTGTGTGTGTGTGTGTGTGTGTGTGTGTGTGTGTGTGTGTGTGTACTCACTCAAAGCCTCTGTGATGGTGTGTATGAAACTCTCTCTTTCATCTTCCACATTCTGCTGTGCTTTGAGAGGGACAGGCAGGAAACCATAGTGCTCTCTGTTACACACATACATCTGCACACCTGGAAAACACACACATAAACACACACTCACTTCTGTAAATACAACCATTTGACCCATCATTTCAAATAAACACGCTAATTAGACCACCCAAGTGTCTCCTTCTTGCCTCATATGTATTTAAATTGGAGAAGTAATGCTACACAAAAGTACATTTTCCAAAACAGATAAACAGCCTGATTTTCCTTACTGAGTCATTTTGAGGCATAGAGCTTATCCAGACAATTAAGAACAGATAGGGTTAGTAAAATGGATAGACAGTTGAAATATGAGGGGGCTTTTATGTCATTTCAAAATGACACTTATGTGCTGTACCGCTCTTCAATTTGTGGGAAGTTTCAATGCGTGAGAACTGTTTTTACTGTGAGAAATATCCTTAATTTAACTGTTGTACACACAGGATAATAGAAAATGAAACTATGGGTGCTTTGTTATGGTAGACATGCATGATGTGTATAGCATTAAAAGTTGTGATCTATTTAGATGAATATTTATCTCAAACTCAAAAACCTACAAACATCTCGTTCTTACAAATAAACAGATGCAATGTCAGGACAAACACATGGCTCCGTTTCTCTCTGCTCTTGTTCATCTTTTTTAATCTCAAACATGTGCATGAACCAATAAAAAGCCCTCAGTGTTACAAAGCAGTACATTTAGATTAAAACCAGGCTGAATACAAGTGAATCACTACGTCACTGACATTCCTCAGTTCCTGTGCCATTTGCAGCTCTGTTAAAAATGTAGCAGTTTGTTGTTAGTCGAGTCGAGCTTTCAGACTGACCTGCTTGACGGGCCGAGAAAGCAAACACCATGATGTCATCAAACGCCCAGCTGTAGTCTGGGTGAGGAGGGTAGAAAGCCAGGTCCCTGCTGGATTCACGACGTAGGTCTACTAAGAAGGTGCTGTGCACCATGGGAACAGGGAAACAGCCGAGCCGCTTCCACTCCCTGATTGGCTGATAGTCTGGGGTTCTCTTATAGTAACCCTGAATAAGAAGAGCGCCACGTTAATGAAAGATACTAGCTAAATGAAAGAGCAGCTTTAAGGATTAAACCACATACTGTACCTGTGGAGTAATGCCGCACCAGAAGTTAGAGTAAAGCGAGCGAGACTCTAACATTGGAGCCACCAGAGTCATGTTTTCAGCCATCATCAGGTTGAGAACATGTGGGTTGGTCAACAGGTTGTCACTGTCTACAAACTAAAGCAGGGAGAGGGTAAATTATCATATGCATATCATAAAACTGTTCAACAAGTCTATCTTAATTAGTACTGGTGAATTAGTAAACACAAATTACAAATGATAGGCTGTTATTCGATATACAGTATTCCGCATGCTCCACCTCCAACTTTTCGCAATTTTTTTGTATTCATCTCAACTTAAAAATTGAGAAGTAGAGTTGAGCAGATAGCCATACTAGTAATGGAAATGCCTCCAATACTGCCTAGAAACAAACCAAACCTACCTCTCTTTGATCCCTGTAACCTACACTGGAATTATATGTAGCCTACATGGACTTCCTCCAGCATCTTTTATATAGAATAGCAAAGAACAAGACTGTACTGCTAGCAGAGTGAGTTAACGTAAGTCATAGCAAGCAAACTGTGTTAGCTATAATCACACAACTTTTGCTAAATGTTGCTAAAGTGCTACGGTCATGATGGATTAAGCTGGGTCTTTGTTATATAGCAATAAGTAAGTACTTTTTGTAAAGTGACTCGAGATAACACTTGTTATGAATTGGCGCTATACAAATAAAGATTGATTGATGGATTGACAACTTAAGGGTTATAGTTTTATTTAAATTAAAGATGATTAAAACCTTGAATCACAAAATAAAGCAGTATCATGTCATATATCGGTGTTTCTCTGAGTTTCAGTCTCAAAAGGACATCAGGAGAGGCTTTCTAGGAGCTTATTATTTTAAAATAATGATTACTTCAGTGTACAGTGAACCAGGCAATCATATGACATACGTCAAAAGTGTGCTGAGTAGCCGAAAGCTAACTAATAATACACTGAAGCATATTGTTTAACAACACTATTATCTGAATGGTAAGTATGTACTAGGCCCATACTGCCTCTATATATACAGATATATCAGAATTGTATTTGGTAAGCAAAATGTTATCCTTATCTGCTAAAGTTTGGTGTTCATGCATGTGGGAGATTTAAAAAAGTATCTTTCTCACTAGTATGTAGTCGGCCCATCTTTCCCTGGCTGCCTTCAGTGCCGCCTGTCGCAGCTTCATCAGATGGTTGAACCTTGAAGGCGGCCAGTGCTTGGGACCCCATTCATCTGTGTAGGTCCTAAGATAGACAGGGATAAAATGTATTCTTATTTTGTCTGCACACAATATTAATAAATACTATATATGTGAGGGAACAAGAACAGATCAGGTACAGAATTAAGTCTGAAGGACTCTGAATAATTGCTAACAAATAATTCCTGTGGAAACTGTGACTCACTTTGGCTCCTCCATGGGTCTCCACTCCACATAGTGGTACACATGCTGAGCTCTCTTTAGCCAATCCCTCAGCATAGCAGTAGTGTTGTCCATATTATGGTCGGTTGCAGCCCTGAAACACAGGACGTCATGTGATAAAAAAGCAGCCGTGTTAGTCCCTGTAAGAACATCACTTCCTGTTGTAGTGCATCTGCTTAATACTTGATAGGCACACTGAGTCCATGCTCGTCATATGCAATGTGCTATTAAAATAAACTTGACTTGTAAACAGCTGCCTGTTGGCTGCATGAGACCCTCTGGAAAAATAAGAGGATGTAAAGCTGAGCTGAACATGTTGCACACAACAGCAGCAAACTGTCATTAGTGGAGGTAACAGGAGAAGTCGTAAATTACAAACAGCATGTTATGAAGAAGATGTTCAGACGCCCAGATTCGTCCAATTACTGTCTGATGCTACAACAGGAAGCGTCATCTTTACCAAGTCTCCTAACTGGTTCATTAAGTGCTCACAGTCTGAAGAGTCACAGCAGACACCAGGCACACTGGGTAAAAGAATACTCAAGATAGATATACTGAGAACAAGCTGAACAGAGGTTTTCAAATGGACTGCAATATGTCTCTCACACGTTCTTGGTGTGCCATTGAAAGTTGTCTTACTTACTTATTTGAAAATTGAACGTGTCGATTACGGAACACAGAAATATTGCACAGACAGGGCACCAGAATACACACACACTCATACCTGTAAGCAAATGATGTCAGCGTAAAAGTAAGGAAAGCTGCAGAAGCTTATTTGTCATCCTTGAGGTTTTTCACTCTGCAAGACATTTCCACCTCAGCTCCCAGAGCTGACTCAGAGAACACACTGTGACTACTGTGTGTGTGGGTGAGAGTGTGTGTCTACATAAAATTAAAACTGTAATATAAAAGTCCTGAACCAATTTGCGATCATATCTACACATTCAAGTTTATAAAATTAAATACCATCTGTCTTAAACTTTCTCTTTAAAGAGGAAAGATCAACAAAATGTGATTCTGTACACAAATCAGTATGCACAAAAACACACACACATAAACTTATTGAGTTGGAGTTTTCCACTGCTTGCTGTAATATTCCTCGCTGCACTCTCTCCAAAATAACACCCAATTTTAGACTAGCCGGATGGCATTAGAAACACACACATAAACATACAATTGATGAGCAGCGGGTCTTAGGTGAATACACTCTCATCATAGAAGATAACAGTGTGGACACTCTTCATTTACCCGATTTAACACAAACAGCAATACAGAAACACCTGTTTCACAGAGACGTGCACTGAAATGCTTTTGTCATCACGCAAAAGAAAAGCTAAAAACTTCACACTTTCAAAAATCTGACACAAGCAAACACACTCTTACATTTCACGCAGAGAATGAGTCAAAAAGAGGCAGATTTCTTGTGTTTTCATAACAACAACCTTCAGTCAGACTGATAAACAGCTCATTAGACAGAACCAGCAGCTGGAGATGAACTGTAAGCCTGAAGGAGACCATGTGGTCAATAATTTTAAAAGCATGTAAGTGTGTACATGCCTACACATGCAGGTGTGTGACAACACATAAGGCCGTTTATTTTTCTGTCTCGAGAATGTTGGTTTAGCAGCAGCATGTCTGGGGATTTATCTATCGCCCCAAGTAGAGGTTTTCCACTTTAACTATATCTGTTGGACTGTGTGTAAAAGGTTATGAGAATGTGTGTAAAAAGAAAAAAAAACCTGTGTATGCAAGCACATGCATGTGTGTATAAATGCCTATGACAGTAATAAAGGACATGAAAACTACCTGTTGTTTTTTTATTGTAAGCTTGAAACACAGTGACACACCTGAGTGGCTTGTAATGAGCAGATGTGGTCACGTTAACACGCTTTTTAAACTGCTTATCAGCACATCGCTGGGGGAAATAAATGTGTTTCTACATGCAGTCTCTCCCAATGACAGACTGAGCTTCAGGAAGGGATTTAAAATCAGGGAACTTCTGGGCAGTTTGAAAAGACGTGGTAAGGTTTGTAGGAACTGTGAAGTGTGTATCTATGAGCATGTGGATGATTTGAGGCATATAAGATAGCAAAGAGGAGTGTGGGAGAGGGGGGGGAGAGGGTGAAGGAAAGGATTGTAAAAAAACAAAGTCTCATCTAATACACCAACAGCTCATTAAAACTCCTCTAAACTTTAAAATGGTTGCATTAACTAATGTTTTAAAAACATCACATTAAAATGCTAATTAGGATTTTTACTTTGCCCACAAAATAAGTAGGAAAGTACTTTCCCCCTGATTTTTACAGGCTGTTCTTGGCAGAAAATGAGCTAACTGTGGCCAGGTCATGAATCGCTGAAGGTCAAAGATTTGGTATACTAAAGACAAGTGTCTTAGGAATGGATCAAAAATAAATTTGGGAAGCAGATTTAGCTGATTAAAAGGAAGTTGTATCTTCACATCTTACTGTATGGATGTTAGGAAGATTTGGGGGTTACAACATTGGTAAATGTACACTGTACACACATATCACAACTTCACAGGTTAGGCTGTATCACACAGCCTTTATTAGGGATGATACTAACCTCCTTAGTTTCAGGGTCTTTCACAAGCAAATTCTACATGCCCACACCTCCATCTTCCCAAACCGTCTCGGCTCTCAGGACTCTGTGATTTTTTTATTACAAACATTTCATCCCAGTGTTCTGTTTGATTTACAAAATAACAAAGTGTTCTGATTTATACATCAAAGTAGCATAATGAATCTGAATTTCTATGTGGCATCCCCTTCTATCTCTGCGATTTTAGACACTTCTTTCCTACTTTAGAGGCAGCAATGTGTTTCTTTTCCTCAATTTCCTCTACCTTCAGGCAGGATCAGCAACTGAAGATGAACCATAGGGCCAAGTCAAAGAGCTTTCACAGTCCTGCCAAATACTTCAACTGTGCCAACCTCATGTCTCTGAAACTGCCAGATTGAGAATATTTGTCCACCTAACTACGGGAAAAGTCAACATCTATAAAGTTAGAGTTTTATATTTGTCTATCACAATACTCAAATAATAGAACAATGCATTAATCTAGGCTCTTGGGCTCATTCTTCCCTCCTCGTTTATTCCTTGAGCTGCGTCTCTGTTCTGTTTTGAAGTTTACAGTGCACTGCAGCCTCATTATTCTGTAGGATCAGGGTGGGGCTTCCTCTCCCCTCCTATATCTTTATCATCAGCATCTGGACAACACATGCTTCCCCCATCCTCACCTACACACCCCACCACTCCCTCTATCCTTCTATTTCCTTTAAAATCTCAGTGTGATAGATTAGAACATTTGTTCCCTCACCCACGTGCCTACAACCATCTGTTTATTTTTTCCACGTTATTCAGTAATGTACCTTTAGTGTAGAGTTTTAGTGTCAAGATTATGAAGCATAATTAATACTAAATTGGAAGACTGTCCCCCTGATCAGTTAATTTTGAAAGGCACATCTTTTATCTGATTTGATAAAAAACAATACTACATATTGACAGGCACTAACATATCCCACAGTTTACATGTATTAAAGCCATTTAGGATTGCCCTTTCCGCTAACTAGAAATCCCATTTAAGTTACAGATAAAACACCAAAGATCCCTCAGGTCAGTACAGACCACAGCAGAACAGATTCTTGTGTTGGTCTGAAGCAGACACTTAAGGTAAATTCAATGACTCTTCTGTTGTTACATTTTCTCTCACTGTCCTCCTCTACTCTGCTATCAAGGCGCACGTTAACACTGCAGACGCTGCATTTGTCAGGAGAGCTGTCAATCATGATGTTATACTATATTTTTAGAATTAAAAAACTTATGGTGCCCCAGTGGTCTAGTCACATGTACAGAGGCTGTTGTCCTCGAAGTGGGAGGCCCAGTTCCAAGCAGACCAGCTTTTCCCCACTCTCTCTTTTGTCCAGTCTCTCCCTTATAGAGGCATACAAAACTAAAGTTTTCATAAATATTAACACTATAAATCAGCACCATAAGAAGAAACTAAAAGACAGAAAGCAAATTTCAGGAAAATGTACAGTATTTGATGTTTTTTTTAAATGTTATGACCCATGTCCCATTCTGTGCTTAAGGATGTTTGTGCAAGAATCCCTGTTTGCTGTACCTTGAGTCCAACAGCTTTTTATGCCAGATATTTACTAAAAATGTTGATCACCAGAAAATACTGCAGTAAAAATATTTAGTTTGGTCGTATTGAACTGCAGTAATTATGCAGTAAAATATACACTTACATTGGTCACACCGGCATCTCCTTCACCTTAATGATAATCAGCCCACTTCCTCACTCTCTCTTGCTCTCTCCCTCCCTCTCTTTCATGCTTTTCACGGCAGGAGCGTGTCAGATAACAGGGAAGGTGGTGAAGGCAGACATCTGGCCTTAAACACAGAGGCTTGTCTTGAGTCTGGCCCTTTTAGGTAAACACACCTCTGAATGGCTCCAGCAGGCCAGTGTCAACTGACAGTTTATCAAATAAACTATCTAATATCCCTGCCAATAATGACCGGTTGCTGCATATAATTAAGAAGCAAGAATGCCTCTTTCAGACCTGAGCATAGATGCCTATAAAACATAATAACCATGCTTGTGTGTGTGTTGACTTTGCACTATAGGCTGACGTGGCTGTGAGCCTTTTGATGGCCTAGTGGGGCAAAAGAGAAAGAGGAGGGATTATGGATAGAGAGATGGAGGGAAAGGGACAAGAGGAGTGGAGAAAAAGTGGTGGGAGGGGTTGGTGAGATTATACCTCTTGACTGAATTCCTCATGACTCTCATGGTAAACAAAGATAGCTAAGGCTAGCAGACCAGCAATAAAGTGTAATATTTAGTATTCATATTCAAGACTTGGAGGAGATATTCATTGTGGTTAAAGTGTTGACTGTCAGATGGAGTCAAGATGAGAAGTTAGGCGTTGACTATTGTTAAGATATTCACCACCTCCAACTTTTAACACAATATTTTCCTTGGAGGTAAGTCATTTTGTATTTTACTTTGAAGGGATTTTTTGTGAAGCCTTGGCTGAAACAAGAATCTGGCCCTTACCTTTTTTTACAACCTTG